CTACAGACAGCCCCCTCCCCCCAGGTCCCCATTCACTCTAATCTGATTTCTCCCCATCGTCGTCTTGGTGGGCATCCCCATCGTGCCCGTTCTTGTCCTCCTTGGAGAGGTGAGCCTGGGAGCCCAAGGCCGAGAGCGAGAGGAGCCCGGTGCCGGTGCTGACAGCAGGGAGGGACGGGGGCTGGAGGCCCACGGGGAGCGGAGTCAGAGGCAGAGCGAGGGCTTGGAGCTGCGACAGCTGGTGAGCTTGAAGCTGCTGCTGTAGAGAATGATGGACAGACAGGAAGACAGGAGAGGGATATTGTCATTTTGAGTGCACTTCAACCCCAACCGACAGGCCTGGGCTGCCCAGACAGGCTGGACCAGCAGCCAAGCTCAAACCAGGGACCTCAGGATCCTGGAGAGCACTGCAGCCTCAGGGGTAAAAAGAAAAAATAAAATTCTAGAGTCCTTGGTCTGCAAGAGCCTTAAGAGAAGGCTCAACAGCATGTCCCTAGCATAACGCAAAGCCCCTAGACCACAGGACATCTGGCCTCTGACTCTGGCATGCTCCTAGGATGCAGTTAAAGCCCTCCCGACCTTGACCAAGAACAGATGGTGTTTTCATATGTCAAGGAGATTCTGTGGTTCCTGCTAAAACCAAAGCTCCTCTCCTTGCACTGTACTGAGATGAAGCATGAATCTGTGCTCCCCTGCAAACCCATGTCCACGTTGTAACAAGTCCAGACAAAGCTAGCCCTATGCCAGTGGGACCAGTCCAGCACTGCACATGGAGCAGCCTGTTGCCAGCATGTGGGGAAAGTTCCCAGGTCATGAGTTTCCTGCCCACCTCTGTCTGGAAGCCCAAAGGCACAGATTCCCATCCCTCTGAACCCAAACTAAACATGCATCACGTACACGGATGATGGAGTTCAGTTCTGGCGCCGTAACCTGCTTGGCTCGTTCAATGGCTCCCAGGACTTGCTGCTGATGCTGGTGTGGGGAGAGTAGAAGGATTCAGGGTCATTTCTAGTATCACAGGGAAGGAGAACAGGGGCACACACACACGTACATTATCTCAGCTGCTAGCAGTAAGATGGCAGGGCACAGAGGCAGAATGATTAACCCTGCAGCTGGAGACACCCGCATGCTCTTCATTTGCCACAAGGACCTTACCCCAGAGGCCACGGTCATGGGCAGCAGGGAAGGAGACACGCTCATCGCATTCCAGTTCCTCACTGCAGCATTAGGAAGGTCCCCTCTTACTCCCATCCTTGTCCCACTCTGCACAGGCCCTACAATCCTTGGCCAGGAGGGCTCTAAGGTGGGAAATACCTCTCTGCTCCCACCCAGGCCCGACACAGAGCAAGGGGCCCTGACATCAGAAGCTCTTGGGAAGCACCCCACTCCTCGGGGTACATCCAAGGTCCCAAATGAAGCAGCTGGAAGATGCTGCTGTGGAAGAGCCCAGCGTGGCTGCTCCAAATACAGACAGGAAAAACAGCTGCATCATGTAATTTAAATAATAAAGGACAACTGTACTGGCTCCTCTGGGAGTACAAGGTCTCAAAAAACACCAGTCCTGTCCATTTCACTCCAGCAAGTGGATTTTTCTTTCCATCTTGGCAGCAGGACAGGGTTGGGGCGGGGGAAGGGGTTGCATTAAAATGCAAAAGGTTTAGTCGTGGCTTAGTTATTAGGCAGCTCTGATCTGATCAGCAAGCCGCTTTGTCTTCCCCAAGAATGGGTGGGTGGGAAAAAACGCAGCCTGTTCCCTAACCCCACAGCTAACCAAGACCAACAAACATGGTCTCCACTCACAGCCAGTCCTGACCAAACACCAGCCAGCCAGGAGAACAGTGGCAGAGTCCAGCCTGGGGGGGTCGTGTGGGGAGATGACAGAGATAGCACTAGAAGTGCTTTATCTTCCTTCTGCCTCAGGCAACAACTCCCAAGCCCTCCCAATTAACTTCTCAGAGGAGTGGGAGGAGCCTATGAGTTGCATTAATTAATGAGCCAGAGGAACCAGATCTCAAGGAGGAGCCATATAGAAGTATTTTTTTTTAACACCCCCTACCCCAGTTAACTCCCAGAGCTCCCACCACCCCTGCAGAAGTGGCCAATGACGCAGGGATCATGGCAGGAGGGAACAGGGAGAGCACAGAGCTCAGCTTTGTCCACAGCCCCAACAAAGGGGACGGGCAGAAAGACGGGCCCCCTGCTCCAAGGCCAAACCTGTCTCAGAGGGCTTGTGGGGCTGGGAGCAAGTGACAAACCAAGGGAAAAGAGCTGCCCCACAGGGGGGTGGGGGCCCCACTCCCCCTGCCAGCACACCCCTAAGCCAAGGGACTCACCTCTTGCGAAAGGTAGGGCAGAACCTGTGCACAAATCCCATTTAGCCTCTTGACAATTTCAGCCTAGAAGGCAAAGAACAGAGGAAAGGCATCAGGCAGCTTAGGACTGACCACCCTCAGCACCAGCTGCCCCATCTTCACCTTCCCCAGATGGCCCTAAGGAAACACACCCCCTTGGAAAGATACTGGCAGCATCCTGGCCCTATTGGGGGCTGGGGGCAAGGCTGCCTCATCCCCAAGGCCTCTCCCTCCATAGTTAAGTGAATCAATGCTGCTGACTGCCAAAGAGCAAGTTTTTCAACATTCTCTTACCTCTCTGGGTCTCCAATATTCACTTAACAAACTGGAAGCAACCAGAGACAAAACATATTGTAGATCCAGGTGGGGATGGATTGAACTATACTTGCCATGTGGGCACAGACATACATGCTGCCCCTGCTGAGACCCCTGCTCTGCCCCAGGGACTCTCTGCTCAGCCTCCCCTTCCCCAAGGACAGATGCTTGCCCAGTGCCAACCAGCTGGGCAGCAGGGCTGGGGCTACACACAGGGACCACATAGACCCAGGCAGCTTCCTCACTAGCCTCATGCAAACAGATGGCAAATTTTTGGGTGTTAAAAGGCTTTTCTCCTGGGAAAAGAGTAAAGCTACCAGCCCCTTGCAAACCACTTTCAAATGGAGTCAAAGAAACTACAGAGCCAAAGGGTTTTGATATGCACTGAAACTGGTCAAGGGGGCCCCACCAGCATCATGAGGCAATGGACTAGGCTGAGAGAGAGTTCATGGGACAGCAGTGAGGATTCAGGGCTTGGGTCCTTTACCAAGACACGTTTTCCCAGGGAAGCCAGTCTCCTGGGCTTAACAAGGACAATGGGATCAGAGGCACCAAGTGCCTTTGTGGGGAGCAGAATTCTGAGCCATGACACACAGACAACTTTGTGACTGATAGCTGAAGCCAGAAAGAGTCAGGCTCAGAGGAGGCTCATGTTTTTAACTGCACAGGTAATTAGCCACTGGGGATAATTAACAACTTCACCACCACCAGTGAGGGTAATGAACAAACTTATCCAGGCTGCAGCACGTCTCCATCACAAGGAGGCTTTCTTAGGTCATCTGCCATCACATCACCTAACTACAGCGCCAGAGAAAAGCTTTCCAGCCCAACTGCAGCAAGAGTTGGAGTGATCACAACAAGGTGTCCTGGGCACTAAGAAAGGCAGCAGGGCGAGGGACCCACCCAGAGCCTGGGAGGAGGGCTGGGGGGGATCTGGGGTCATCTCCTGCCCTTAACACTGCAATCCCAAAAGATAGAGGGTCCCTGCATTTCAAAGGCAGCTCTGACATTTTACAGGCTCATAGCATTTCTAGCTCCTGAAATATCACTGAAATGAGATGGCAAAGCACAGCAGACAACCCGCCCTCCCCAGGAATTAGAGCACTTGGAAATGCCTTCCCCCTACCTGTTTGTGCATTTCTATATTCAGCCCGTAGGACATCTCATAATACTGTAGAGCAGGGGAGAAGAGAACAAAAAAAAAAGTTAAGTCAAGTCTCCAACAGGTAAAGAGGCTCCACACAGCAGTGCTGGGAACTACTACTACTTTTCTAGCAAGGTCTTCTACAAAGGCTGGTCAAGGATGGAAGAAGAGGCCAGCCCTAGGAAACAAAGACAGCAGGAGGCAAACAGAGACCCTCCTGGTACAAGGCAGAAGCGCTGGGCCCAGGCACTCCCTGCCCACCCTGCTCCAGCCCCACACTGCTGCAGATGGAGACCCAAGAACTTGCTAGCTGAGCTCTGTGCAACACCCTTCACAGACCCTTTCAGCAGTTTGCATCAAGGCGAGCACTTGTCATGCTGCTTCAGACCTGGAAGAAGGCTCAGGACACCACAGAATTCCACATCCACGGCCAAAGAGGGCAGCCTGACTCTACAGACTATGCCTGGCCACTGTCCTACAACCCATGTGGCTGCTTCAGCAGCAAATGAAAGACATCAGAACTGGGCTTCATCTAGTAAGTAACTCATCCAGCTGCACACAGCTCCAGCTGTTTGGGAAGAAGCTGTGTGGAAAAAACCCAACGCACCACACAGAAAAACCCCACCCAGAAATGCCCCCCTCACCCCAGCAACAGGCATCTACAGAGCAATCCACTGTTGGGGGAAGCTAATTCCTGACCCCTGGAAGAAGCTCTTTTAAGGCTGATGTATGAGAGCTTAGAAATCTCTATTCTCAGCTTGCAGGCTACAATCTTTATTCTTCTGAAGGAAAAGAAAAATCCACATCTGTGCTCATTTAATTCAAGGAGCAGATCATTGGTGTTCTGGTATCAATGCCACAAGCCCAAGAAGCGCCCAGCTGGGTATGGCCATGATCTCCACCTGTTCCACCACCACCAGTGGCTCGTGAGGCTTCTTTGCATTCTGAACACTGAGCAGGAAATGGGAACCCGACCCCCCAAGCTGCTAATTGTGACTTATTCAAAAATCAGAGCAGCTGTAGCAGCTTTGCACATTCACAGGAATCCTCCTCTTTGCTTCCCATGACTCACTGAGGTGGGGGGTAACAGCAGCTCTGTGCAGCTCCAGCTCAGCCTCGCAGACAAGACAGGAGCTGCTGTGCCTGCAAAGCCTCCAGTGCAGCACAGTGAGCAACAGCCCTTCCCTCGGCCACCAACCTATTGATGGTAGCCTGAACCAATTCTGGTGACTGTCAGCACTAGGTGGGGAAAAAATACATGCAGCCACACCTGGAGATGAGAGTCTCCATGCAGGCTGCAAGGCCCAGGAAGCAATCATTTACCAGTGAGCATGTGGCAGGCTTCCCCATTAACACACAAGGAAAGCTGTGACCTCTTCCTCACACCTTGCTCCCCAGAGCCTCAGAATCTGGACACACAGGCAGTACAGAGCATGTTTTAAACTCCTAACTCTCCTCTGAAGAGCTGCTGTGTTAATGTATACATCTTACCTCTTCCTTCCAGGGCAGGTGCAGCAACTAGTAAGCAGGCACCAGGTCATCTTTGTGGACAGTATCACAACCTTCTTTTAACTCCTTGACAGGAAATGAAGAGACCACAGCCATGCCTGGCATCCCTTCCCCCTGCTACAAGGGCTCTTCCACAGTGAGGGTAAACAGAGGCATTACCTGGCAGGCAGTCACTCTGCCTACAAGAACATGACTGTTTCCTAGTGGATTTCTCTTTAGAGAGCTATGGCTAAGCCTGCTGCCCACGTGTGGCACTGTGACTCCTGCCTTTACCAGGCACTGCCCCAGGATTTGTACACTTTGTGCTGGGGGACATGCAGTGGTGAGACGTGCTACCACTGAGCGCCACGGCTCCGTGAGGCAGCGCAGAGGGTTTGGATCTCGCATAGCAGCTGGTTTCTGCTTCCAACTCCCACCAGGTTTGTGGGAGGCTTCCCAGCCTCATGACTTCTCAGTACTGCCACACTGGCCACAACTCTCCCTGAGTCCCCAGATGCCTGCACACCAGCACCTTGCAGCTGCTTCCTCAGTGTGTAAGGGCTGTCACCCCCCAGGGCACAGGGAGTGAGGTCCAGCAGCTAGTCAATGGCCATAGACCCCTTCCCACACCCATCGAGCCATCAGACACTGGGCCCACCAGTTTCCTGTGTCCAGAAATCCCCTGCTACTTCCCCACATTTCAACAATCCGCTGCATGCAGACACACAAAACAGAGAAAAGCCAATACCAGCCTCGCCGCAGGAGGAGCTGCTGCTGCTGCCCAGGCACCTGCTGTCCCCCTGTGCCACCCCCCTCTCAGCTCCCACCCCAGCCTTACCATAACGTAGTGACGCTGCATCTCTGATTTCTCACTGGCGAGTTTGTCACATTCCAACTTCAAGCTGAAAAGCCAGAAAACCATAAGAATACCACAAACAGGAGATGAGCGAGTTGATCGCCGTGGAGCAGCTGCTTCCTGCACAGCCCCATCCTGGCCAGGCTGGCTGCTCAGAAACCACTGTCCAGATGCCAAGGAGTGGGAGCTGGGTCATGCTGCACTGGCACAGTGGCAACCACAACTTGGCCTGCTCCCACCAACAATCAGGAGAAGCAGTACAAGCTTGTCCATCAGTGGGACGTGGCCTCCCCCAGGCAAACCTTGCCTTGGCAATCCTTTCAGATGGAGGCAGAAAGCTGGGCAGAAGCAGAGGTGGCTGCCCAGAGAGGGTTGTTGGCAGCTGGGGATGGCTTCTAGGACAAGCCTGCCTGCAACACTCAATAGATGCTCCAATACAACTTAAAATCAAAGCCAGATCCATTTCTGGATGGTGGGGAAGAGGCCCAAGTGCAGCACATCCCTCCAGAATAAAGTATTTTTCCTTTCCTGTAGGTTCTTCACGCCCTTCAGAGAAAGTGCTGCTGCTCCCAGTGTTTTATGAGACTCCAACTCACAAGCCAAGCAATTGCAGCCAGCATGTGCTGTGGTTTTGTATTTCAAACAAGAAACAGATTCACCTACACAAAACCTGCTTCTTCCTGAGCAGATTAAGTCCAATGGGGTGGAGGGGGATGGGGGCATACCCTCCCTTCCAGCAGGCATGTTTCTCTGGCTTCCCTGCTCCCTTGCAGACACTGCCCAGAGACATGGGGACACCAGTAAACAGCATTTCCCAGCATATTTTCTACCTGCTCCAGCCAGAACACCACCACTACAAACCTGTAACCTGGTCTCCTAGCAGAACCAAAGCCAGGGAAAAGGAAACAGGGAAGTCACAGCCACATGGTGCAGAGGCACAAGCAGTGCCTCGCAGCCTGTGGTAAAGGGCATCACCTCATAGATTTAACCCAAAGGCTTCACGTTTATTTCAGAAACACACACAAAGCAGCACACAAGTCTGAAGCCAGCTTTTAGGTCAGCAGAAGTATTTCCACACACACCCGCAGAAAAGCGGAAGCTTTTGGATTTAAGTGCTCCCTGCAGCATTCGCATCCAAGAATGGCAGCCAGCGAGAACCAAGGAAAACTCCCAGCAAGACACAGGAGGCCTGGCAAGGCTCCGCGCAGTCCTGGCTGAGCAGTGCTCAGAGGAAAGCCCTTGGCTGGAGAGGAAAGACGCACGTTATCCTCACTGGGTTCCCAAGTGGATGCAACTAAGCCCCTGGCTTTGGCCCTCCTCCAGCCAAAGGTGACCCAAGCCACACGACTGGGTCCCTCCTTGGCGTTCCCACTGGGTCTGTACAGCGAGGCAATGAAGCCGAAGAAGCAGAGCGATTCTTGTGCGTGGTGCCAGCCCAGCAGAGGCTGCGGGGCAGCCCCGGGCTAGGCCAGCGGCACAGGGGCACGTACCTGTGGTACTGGGCCTGCAGGAGCTGGAACTCGTCCTTGATGCGATCGCAGGAGTCGGAGGTGGTGAACTTAAGCTGCTGCGGCAGGTGAGAGGAGCCCTTGAAGGAGAGGAGACAGCGCTGGGCACGGGGACAGGCGGCCTGTCCCG